TTTCATGTATAGAATATGATAAAACAAATATTTAATAAAAATTTCCAATAACTAAACTTGATAATTTTTGAATAAAAATAAATTAGCAAAATTGTTGTATGAGGATTTTGTAATTTATTCCAATTTTGAATAAAAATCTCAGGTTTTTCGTTATATTTTGCTTGTTTTTCTTGAGGCTTTTTAAAACGAATGAGAACTTTTTACACTTAACCCTCCACCTGCCTCAAAAAAWAAATAAATAAAAAATACCAATTAGATTTACTTTCCTGTCAGATAAAAAGCTGTTGAAGAAAATCGAAGCATTTTACAGTCCTGAAATGTGACAGAATAAAATTTAAAAAAACACATACACACATCGTTGTAAAATCAACGATGTTTAAATTGTTTTGAGAAAATATTTAAAAAGCTTGATATGTCCTATCCTTAAAAATAGTATTCTATATCATTTTTGTGACTTAAAGATTACTCAAAACGTAAAAAAAAATATTCTGCGTAAATGTGTTTTGTATATTGTTGGAAAAGAGAGAAAACAAACATTGGACTGATTTCCTCTTATAATACAATAATTAATAAAACATTTGACACTATTGTAAATCAATATTTTTTTCGCTTTACTGGTGCATAAAACGTTAAATTACGATGTAATATTATTGATCAAAACCAATTTGTAATGTAATAATGTTACCCATTATAATATTATATGGTACATTTTCAATTATTATAAACGTGAATTCACTATCGTTAACGCATATAACTCGAATCGTTGAAACGCATATTCTTTTATCTTAACAAGTATCATTCATTTAAAATTATTATAATTGATTAAATATTACTACAAAATATATTAGTAAAATAAAAATAGATTAGATAATATCAAATATTTATAGTATTTAAATTTTCACTAACTGGTACACCTCTCCGGCCAATTATGCTTGGTATATAATACATCATATTTAAAAAATGTTACCGTATAGACATTCTATTAGTTTTTACAACCACTTTTTTTTATCTATTTTATTGAGTCCTACATTTTTTTTAGTATATCATTTATTTTTTATAGTTGAACACAATTCTTGAATCTCGAGTAAAAATAAAATAAAAYATTTTAACTTACGATAAATTAAAGATATTATCGTGTTCTATACATCGTCCAGCTTGAATTTTTATATGATTGATACTGAATTATTCGATTGGATCATTTTTGTTTCTTACAGATTTGAAACACGAAAAACTATCAGAGTATTTGTTGAGTAATTTTAGTAAGTAACATGTGAATTACGGCTCTTCTCTCATACTCTAAAAAGTTACCATTAGATCATTAATAAAGTAAATTTATTTTAATTACGTTGATAACAATCGCATTTTTTATCGTGTTTGTTACTTATTTAATTTAAGGTAAAAAATAATATGATAGGTATTGAAATATAGTATAAATACTTATTACTTTCTGAACTTTTTTAACTTGAAATATTATGTCACAGTTGAAATATCGGTTRATGTAATGTGTGAATATTTTCATTTATATCGAATGTACATATACTTAATCCAAATATATGACTAATTTGAATGCTTTTTTTCTTTATTTAAAAAACACGATCTGTACAAATTCGCACAATAATTATATATGTAAACACATACATGGGGATATATGAATACTGAAAAACCGTATGATTTTCTATAAAATCCAATTGAAATCCAACCATCTGTTATGCGTGATACGTATAAAACGTTTTGTCGATAGTGATGGTCAACAGTTCCATGATTTAGATTATAGAGATATTATAAGTACCTACAGGAATAAACTGGTTTTCTAGAAGATAGGTAATTTATACCAATCCACCACTCGTTTAACAATTCCGGAAGTTTTTGGAATTTATTTAATCTTTCAATATACAGAAAGGGTATACATAAAAGACATTAAAAGTTAAGACATAGTAATAGCGTATAATAATATAATTATTATAGTCATTTTATGTAAAACCAATTTTCTAAATATTATAATCAACTTGTTGACACTTTCATTTTTGTCATAAACATCACAGACTGTACTACTGATATTAGACTTTTTTATCTATGTCTATCTGCCTAAAGTCAATAAAATATTTATTGATGAACCTCATCCAACAGATTCTTGTTCAAAAGTGGAACCAAAATACTATGTGTACTGTTGGAGACCTATACGTAAAAATAACTGTACATTGAAATTCATTTGGTTTAAGATGTTTAAGATGAAATATAAAACTGAATTTTCATCATACAATTACAAAATAACGTATAATATTAGACATTATAGTATTATAAGTAATAATGAATATTAACTTGTTAATAATACTAAAATAATTAACTATAGTTTAAAAAATCCATGATGTATTTATTGTATTATTATTTCTAGTGGAATTCAATTATTTACTAAAAATATATTATGCTTTATTATATAAATGATAATATTATATTATAGTTCCACATTAATTATTAAAATATAATATTATATATCTAAATTTCAAACATATAAAGCAAAATGCAGTGATAACTGGAAACGATCTTTTTGTATTGTTCTACACTGCTGCATAAAAATACCTAACAATTAATATTTACAAATTTGAGAATGGTTTTTGGTCCAAATTGGATGTAATTAGTACATTAGAGAGGTCAAAATTGAATGTTTCTAGTATCTTCCGAAATAATCAAGGTAAGTAAACTAAAAATAATTAAGAAAAACATGAATTTTTACGCATAGCCGTTTTCAACAAAATTGATTTTTGGTGTTACTCAAAAACCATAGATTCTTTAAACGATCGAAAAATGTTTATTTTATCATTTTCTGTAAATCTACATTCTAAAATTTTCAAAATATTTTGAACTTTGCTTTATTTATAATTACACTTATTAGGTAGCTATATTCTATAAAAAACTTATGTAAATGATAAAATTGGTAGATAGATATTCAAAGTGGATATTATACCCATCATTATATACATTAAAATATTATACTTAAAATTCAAATTATATTAGATTAATGTCCGAATCATGTA